CAGATGAAGTTATAAAAGATAAAAACGAAAAATAAAAAGCAAAATATGTAATTAAACAAAGGACACAAAAAAGGTAAAACAAAAAAAAAAAAAGAAAAAAAAAAAAAAAAAGAAAAAAAAAAATTAAAAAGATCTACAAAAAATCGAAAATACATAACCAATCCAAACTTACGAGAATGGACAGCTGGCCGCTATCCCAGTTGTCGCACTGCACGCTCGCGGCGCCGTCGGCTGTACTCGGGACGCAGACGCACCTCTTCCGGCTCTGGGGCTTCGCCGTCTGGGCCACGCGCCGCCCGAACACGATGGCCACCTTCTCGATCTGCTTCTTCAGCCTCTTCTTCGCTTGCTTGATGGGCGACATGGTGAAGATCGAGCCTGGGGAAGGGGAGGAAAATCGGTCTTGGTATGCTGGTATGTTGCCTATGGGGAAGCGGTTGCGGCGCGGGGTTGGTATGTTGGCATGCTGTGTATGGGGACTGGCTGCATAGTGGAGTTACCGAAATGCTAAAATGCCGTCGTTTATAAGCAGATGGTTGGAGTGTGTGTGTGGATGGGGGGGGGGTGCTTATAGGTGTGTGTAAGAGTATAGGTGTCTGTTGATGAGTATGTGAGTATGTGAGAGTGTGTAGGTGTGTGGGAGTGTGTTTATGGGTGTACTTGTATGCGTGTAGAGATGTACATGTGCGTGTGTATTGATGCCTGTGTGTGAGCGGTTTTTTTATGGGTATGAATGGGTGTGAATCTATGTTAAAGGGTGTGAGTGTATCGATGGATGTATGCGTGTGGTTGTGTGTTTATCGGTGTATGAATGTGGGCGAGCGTGTATAATGATGAGTGTGTGAGTATGGCTGAGAGTGCGTTTTCTACATTGCACCACCTCACCAACCGGGATACGCAAACTTTAACACTAGCCAACCAAGTTCAAACCCAAAATATAGACCCCCACTGCCTCGTCCCACCACCCACCTCCAGTCTCCAGAGCCAAGGGGGCGCAGTAGCCGAGGCTGTCCTTGGGAGTCGTGAGCTGGCGGCGAAGGGCTTGGTCGCCGGTGAACGTCCTCTTAGAGTCCTTGACGGTGAAGGCGTTGTCTCTGTCCATGCCTTCGGGATAGAGGGCGAAGGATAACGTGAGGGACGACTTTTTTAGGGGATGATGAAGATAAATAAAAATCGATAAAGAAGGATAGAGGTCGAAGCCGCAAGATGATAATGAAAAAGAGAACTGATAATTAGATTAATTAGATTGTCTCTGTCCGTGCCTTCGGGAGAAAGGGCGAAGAGCGAGTTTAAGATAATGATAAAACATTTATAAAGAAGAATAACAAGGGGGGCAAAATATAGGATAATGATAATTGAAAAAATAAATACCTTATTACTTTTTTTCCCTTTGGGTCTGGATGTAAGCAGTGTCTCTATACATACCTTCAGAATAATGGGCAAAGGATAACATGAAGGACTAACTTTTCAGATAATTATGAAAGGAAAATCGATGAAGAAGAATAACAAGGAGGACGAAAATGTAGGAAAACTTATGAAAAAGACAACTTGATAAATAAAGCCATTTTCTATCTAAGACTTTTTGGCATTCTTCATGGTATAAACACTGTCTCTTCCTACACCTTGAGAATTAAAGGCAAAATATAATATATTCAGAAGTGATAAGATGATGATAAAGAGAAAGCCATAATAAATAGCCCTATATTTACACGAATGAGAATGAATAAGAATGGCATGATAAAAAAAGGAAATCCTTGATAAGCAGATGATTAAATAGAACCCCCTTGGAATCATTTTAGAGTGTAATTGAGTTTCTTTAAATTCCATGATAATATTGGCACTGTCTCTATCAAAATCTTGAAGATTAAGTGGCAAAGGATAACTTGAATAGCAATGAAAATTATTTTTAAAAATGATGAAAAGAAAGTCTTGATAAACAGTTAAACATTCTACTCTCCATCTAGGTCTCTCATGAACCCTACATGACAAATGACACTGACTCTACCCACGCCTATACGATAAGGACCAAATATATAATCAAACAGAAAGCATAATGGCCCCTATCTCCCTCACAGAACACGAACGAAAACAAAAGTCGTCAGCATCCGATAAATCCATATCTCATTATTCCATCACGTATCAAGGCCTCTGTTGTCTCACCGAACAGCTTGCTCTTCTCCTTGGCTTTTGGAATATCGAAGAGCTCATCGTTAAAGACGTGGAGAGTTATGGAATATTCCAGGAGGATGTGGTACATGGTGCTGTAGTCCATCTGGAAGGGAGGGAGGACAGAAGGGAGGGTTATAGGCATTATTTTAGTTATTTTCTGTGTCTTTCTTTGTTTCTCTTTGTGTCTCGCTCTCTCCTTCCTCCCCTTTCTCTCTCTCGCTCGTGCTCTGTCTCTGTCTTTGTCTCTGTCTCTGTCTCTGTCTCTGTCTCTGTCTCTGTCTCTGTCTCTGTCTCTGTCTCTGTCTCTGTCTCTGTCTCTGTCTCTGTCTCTGTCTCTGTCTCTGTCTCTGTCTCTCTGTCTCTCTCTCTCTGTCGTTATGATACTAATAATAAGATTAATATTGATTAGAAGAATATGTAGTACATAGAATTCTCTAGTCACATGATAACAGTTATCATCTTCATTTTCAGAATCACGCATTAGTGAGATGATGATGATACGACTACTACTAATAATAATAATGATAATAATAATAATAATAATTATTATTATTATTATTATTATTATTATTATTAGAGCAATAACAAATATAATAATAATAATAATAACTACTAGTACTATTGATAACAACGACAACATCAACAACAATAATGATAATAACTAGGATAATAACAATAATGATAATAATAACAATAACTACAACAATAATAATAAGAAGAATAACTATCATTATCATTATTATTTCTATAGTGACTATGAAAATAATCATCCTCGTCATATCACTACCATACCATTACCATCACCACCATCATAACACAAGAATAAAAACAGCAAAAACAAAAACAACAACAAAGAACTCACAGAGGGGATGCTGGGCTTGCACGACCTGCACGGGAACAGCACGAAGGTCACGCTCACGCCAGCACGGAAGGTCAGGTCAGCGGCGAAGTTGAAGGCTTCGAACGCATCAGATCGCCAGTAGTCCTCCGCGTCGGTTGCGCTAGCTGTCGGGAAGGAGGGGGGGGGAGTGATGGGACGGAATTATGGATATTTTTTTTTTTTTTTATTTACTTGTTTATTTATTATTATTATTATTAACCTCTCCTTAGCCTCCGCCTCCTCTCAACCTCTAGTTTCTCTTCCACTTCCACCTTAACCTCTATCTCTTTTCCCTATTCTATCTCCTTTCCTTTAGTATCATTTTTCCCTTTCCTGTTCTCCACACCCTTAATTTACGGCTCCACTTCCCCCTTCTCCTCCCCACTCCCTTATTATTATTATCATTCCTCCTCCTCTTCCTCTTCCTTCCTATTTTCCCGCATGCATATCCCCCTTCTCCTTTTTCTCCTCTACTCCCCCTCTATCCACCATCCCCCCCCCCCGCTCTATCGTCCCTTCTGCCTCGTCTCCTACACTTGTCCCCTCCACCTCGTCCCTTCCATCTCGTCTCCCTGCACCTTGTCCACTTCACTTCGTCCCTTCAGCCTCGTCCCTTCAGTCTCATCTACGTCAACTTGTCCCCTCCACCTCGTCCCTTCCACCCCATCCCCTCCACCAGAACACTCACTGAATTCCACCCGATCGAGAGCCCTGTGGATGTTGGCGGCGTCCGTGAAGATCTGGTTGTCGACGGTGGCGATGGACGGCTGCGCGTGGAGGCTTTCCCCTCCGTACAGGATCATGGCGTATCTATCGGGGTGGAATGGAAGCCCCGGTCGTTATTACTTGGCCTGGCGATTCGCGCATTATTAAACCTCGTTATTGAACGTCATTATTAAACCTCATTATTAAACCTCTTTATTAAACCTCATTATTAAACCTCGCAATTACACCTCATTATCAAACCTCATCATCAAACCTCTTTATTAAACCTCATTATCAAACCTCATTATTAAACCTCAAAATCAAACCTCATTAAACCTCTAACCTCCCCGTCTTCCTCTCGAAGGGTGGCCGTCCCTCACTCACCTCACATCCCGGAGACCGTTCTTCGCCAGCTCCTCGTCCATGGCGTTGATGAAACTCTCGAAGCGGTTTAGGGGCTTATTGGAGGCGAAGCCCTCGTTGCACGCGCCGTCCTCCACCAGGAGCACCACGTCCGTCGACTTGAGGATGTCGTCCACCTCCAGCATCGTCGACGTGCCCTCCTCCAGGGTGTGCGTTTCACCGTCGTCGGTCTCGTACACGCACCTGGGGAGGGAGGGCAAGGGGCTTGTCAATTTGAAGGTGTGCTCTGTATTTTTATTTTTTTTGTGTAAATGCCCGTTTTTTGTGTTTATTTGTTGTGTTTTTTGTGTGTGTATTTGTGAGCGCGTGTGTGTGTATCAGTGTGCGTCTCGTGCGTTCGTGTGTAAGAAACCCGACGAAGTACTCACTCTACACAGAACACCGGGATCTTGACCGGGATGTTGTTCCTGGAGCACGCCTCCATGTACGCCGTGGCAGCTGTGCAAGTGTCGCGGTCCTCGTTCCGGTAATCCACCATGCACATGTGGAGATATGGCGTTGGGTCCACCTGCACGCACAAGGATAATGTGAATAATCAAACCCCTTTATAAATTATAGTTATCCTTCATGAATCACATATATCCATATTGAATTATAAATATATTTTGCACCAATTAATGTATGAATCGTTTATGATGCAGTGAAAAAAACATACGAAAGATACAAGATACTCATGTAAAAAGAATAAGGTTATCAATATGATATATATATATACATATCGACTGATTAAGAAAATACTTATTAAGAAGATTAATGATGAGAAAGATATTCATCATATTGATGATTGAACTACATAGCCGATCACAGTCGACGAAAACATACATTTTTGATAAGGCATTTTTCATTCAAATAATCACAACAACACAAACACGAATAAACATATAAATAAAAGAAGAAACAAACAAATGAAAACTTATAATCACAATATGAATCTAAAAAAAATAATCAGAAAAAAAACAAAAAAAAAAAAAATGATAATGAAAAAATAAATCTGAAAAAAATAATATTTAAAACAAATATAGCAACGACGCGAAGACGAAGCGCACCTGGAAGAAGCAGTGCTTGAAGGGCGAGGTCTTGGCCTGGAACAGATGCTGGCAGGTGTCCACCTCGACCTTGGAGGCGCCCACGGCTAGGTTCCCTCCGGACTGACAGGCGCCCCTGCTGACGTCCCAGCCCTGCGCCAGGACGTGCACGACATCCGTCTGGGTTCCGTCGGGCAGCTGCTGGTCGTCCTTGGGCTCGTGGTTGTAGGTCCCCAGCAGGCCGCCCGTCTTGTCGAAGGAGGTGCCTGTGGGGGGAACGGGCGGCGTGAGCGGAAGGAACGTCTGTGTCTGCGCTTGCGTGCGTGTGAAGTAAGATGAGATAAAAAAATACAAGCACATACACATATTTACAAACATATATACATATAAGCATATAAACAGACAGATGGCCACACGGACGGACGGATGGACAGACAGACAGACATATATCCATAAATAGAAACATACGCACGCATACCACATACATTTTGCATTACAAGAGAATGTATGTGTTATGTGTGCGTATGTTTTTATGCATGGATATATGTCTGTCTGTCTGTCCGTCCGTCCGTTCGTCCGTCTGTCCGTCCGTCCGTCTGTCCGTCTGTCTATCCTTCCGTCTGTCTGTTTATATGCCTATATGTATATATGTTTGTATGTGTGTGTGTATGTGCGTGTATGTATGCACGCATAAAAAGACACTTATTTTATCTCATCTCCTTACTTCTTCAACAAATCATGGGAGGAAAAGCTTCTGACGGATGAGCCTAAGACGCCAACTTATAATTCATTCCCCCAAATACTGAACAAACGAAAAAAAAATAACCAATAAAAAACTAATAACAATAATGATAAATAATGACAAAGATAATAAATATATAGCATGCATGTATGTACATAACACAACAAAAAGAAATAAAATAACCCCCCAAACAATAATAAAAAAAAACAATAATGATAAACAAATACACAAAAAAACAATAACAAGACAAATTAAAAAAGAAAAAAAAATGGCAACAGGACATCCCCAGCAGAAGGTTCCCCTCACCGGACAAGCTGATGGAGAGGACGTCATGTGCCAGGTTCCAGTTGATGCGCAGCCCGTGGTCCGTCCGCACCTCGATCTTGTGAAGCCAGCGGTCCACAGTGGCGCCCTCTACGCTCACTGGCAGCTCCGTCGGTTGTCTGTCCACTGTCACCTGTGGGGATTGGGTGGAAAGTGGATTACCTTTTACGTTCGGTTGATGTTAGTGTTTAGTTAGCGAGTTGTGTGAATTATTTTTAGTATTGATTGTGGTGATATTGATAGGGATGATAAAGTTTTATTAGTAATGATGATAATGATAATGATATGTCTGTATTCTGTTAATGATATATGAGCTAAATATCCTTAACAAAGATAGTAACAATAAAAAGCAACATAAACAACAAACCTTAATAATAACGATACTTGTACTACTAAGAGTGACAATAATAATGACATTGATACTAATAACAATGATAATAATAATGATACTAATACTAATAGCAACAATGATAATAATAACGAAGCAAATACTAACAACAGTGATAATAAAAACGGTATCATTACTACTAATAATGATAACAACACCGATACAAATATTTCTAATAATGATGATAATAACGACACTAATTAATGCTACAACTAATACTCATCCTAATTACCCTAAAGTCGGACGCCAGCTCGATCTCGGAGCCTCCGATGTAAACGACGATTGTCCTGGAGGAGTGGCTGTGGTAGTTGACAGCCACGGCGTACTCTCCGCCCACCATGTCCGCCACCAGGACGTGCTGGCATCGGCCCTTGAACTCAAGGTGGTGCCCGTCGAAGGTCATGAAATGCTGCTCGCCGATCATGTAGCCGGTCGCTGCATGGCGGAGGGAGGGGGGGGAGGGTGGTTAGGTGGTTAGGTGGGTTGGGTGGGAGGGGGGAGAGGTTGTGTGGGTCAGGAGGGGTATTTGGCATGGGGGAGGGAGGGTAAGTAGGGGGGGGAGGGAGGAAAAGAGTTAGGGAGGGAGGGAGGGAGGAAAAGAGTTAGGGAGGGAGGGAGGGAGGAAGGGAGGGAGGGAGGGAGGGGAGGGAGGGGGAGGGAGGGAGGGAGAGGGAGAGAGGGAGAGAGGGAGGAAGGGAGGGAGAGATGGAGAGACGGAGGGAGGGGAACGTAAGTGAGGGAAGATGGGTGGGTGGTTGGGACGGAGGGGAAAGAGGTGGGTAGTATTATATATCCATATACATAACACAACAAATAAAATATATACAAAAAAGTTTATACCAACAAGAAAAAAAACACAAATCCCCTCCCCCCCAAAAAAAAAACAGACCTTCATCAACAAAAGAAAATAACCTCCCAACTTACCAGGGAACGGCGGAACCCAAGTAACAGGGTTGAAATTGAGGTTCCAGTACTTATAGAACTTATCCAAAATGGTCGTGTTGGAGGTGGAGAAGAACGTGTCCCTCACCCACTGGATGTTCTTGTATTCCGGTAAGTCCTGGAGAGTGAGGGAATAAAAAAAAATCTTGTTCATGTTCCTTCTTGTGGTTCAATTGTTACCTGTGGTTGGCTTTGCTATACATTTTCTTTTTTTTTTTTAGCTTTTCTTTTTTTCTTGTCATGAAATATTGATATTCATTTGGCTTGTTGATGATAGAGCGTGATGTGGGTTAAAGTTCTGTGCAGGTTTTACTAATGTATGCCTGTCGAGAGCTTTGAATAAGTAATTGGATGGATACTCGAAAAAAATGGATGGATAGTAATAAAAAAAAAGGCAAACATGAAGATTCAGATGAGCTAACACACTGTTACTTTCTAAATATACGAATTCTAATATCGTACCCGAATGATCAGTTCTCTCAATGAATAAACAAATAAATGGATAAAGAAAGAAAGAAAGAAAGAAAGAAATAGATAAATAAAGAAATAGATAAATAAATAATAGATAAATAAATAAATAGATATATAAATAAATAGATAAATAAATAGATAAATACATCAATAAATAGATAAATCAATAAATAGATAAATCAATAAATAGATAAATAAATAAATAGATAAATAAATAAATATATAAATCAATAAATAAATAAATAGATAGATAAATCAATAAATAGATAAATCAATAAATAGATAAATCAATAAATAGATAAATCAATAAAGACAAGACGAATACATACATCACCCCCCATACTCAATTTATCTTCATCTTAACGCGGGAATGAGTTACAAACTAAGCAATAAGAACCACGCCTCCCTACGTAACACATAACACATAATTTTATAGACACATTCGCCATCCGCTCGCAAAACCGTGTCTCTGCTCCATCTTACCCTCCAGTTTGGCTTAACGTTGAAGGCGTGCCAGTCAACAGGTAATTTCTGAACCAATAACACTTTTCCTTGGGACGGCGTGAACAGGAAGTTTGTCTTGGCAACGATGTGTCTGGAAGGGAAAGGGAGAGGGAAGGTTAATATGTCTGTCTGTCAGGTGATAATGTTCCTGGAAGTTTGTGTTTGTGTCTGCTTGGTGATAATGATCTTGGAAGTTAGTGGGTCTGTTTGTCAGATGATAATGATGCTAGAAGGTAATGTGTCTGTCTGTCAGCCGAGAATGACCCTGGGAGTTAATGTGTCTGTCTGCCAAAGGATAAAAACCCTCTTTAGCTGTAGAAAATTTTAGATGATCTATCTGCCAGTCTCTCTTGAAGGTTGATGTTGTACAAGACTAATGATTATACAGCTAACCATCGAGTTTTTTTCTAGTGAACAGGGAACAGAAATATTTATTATTGGAAGTCATTCAAGAATCTGCGGATGGGACACACGACTCACTATTATTTTTTTTTAATCAATTAAACAATCAATAACTGTACTAGTAAATAGGTATTACTAGGAATCATTTCACGAACTGGCATCAGTAAACATGTCACACAGGGACCTTTAAAACACCTATTATTAAGCGAAAGAAAAAAAGTAAAAAAAAAAAAGAATATCTTCAAATAATAATTTATAACGACTTAATTTCTTTCTTTTTTTTAATTTAACAAGAGAGACGAAACGACACACACTTCTGCGACGCCTGGATGCTGGTCTGCGCGACGATGGTGTGGCCGTGCTCCAAGATGAAGGCCGCAGCATCTATCAGGTGACCACGGATGTCGACGTAGCGGACGGTCCACACCACCTGCGAAGAGAGATGCCCTTCAGTGTTTTTTTTTTGTTTTCTTTCTCTCTCTTTGTCTTTGTCTTTCTCGCTCGCTCGCTCTTTTTCTCTTTCATTCTCTCTCGCTCGCTCGCTCTCTCTTTCTCTTTCATTCTCTCTCGCTCGCTTTCTTTCATTCTCTCTCTCTCTCTCTCTCTCTCTCTCTCTCTCTCTCTCTCTCTCTCTCTCTCTCTCTCTCTCTCTCTCTCTCTCTCTCTCTCGTTATACAGTGTCGTCTAAAATAAGATTATTTGTTTTGAAGTAAAAGTTCTTGATCATTTAGTCTGTTTGTTCTCACGATAATATCACGAGTTGATTAATATCTATCATTTCCCCTCGTATGTTATCGCCTTTCGATATATATTCCCTTGACAAGAAATGCCATTAATCAACATGGTTTACAAAATCAAAAACTTTATTTCCTGACTGGTATTTCATCCTATAAACCACAGCACACAAAGTTGCGCCGCCACATCGTTTCTATTTCACTATCAGTTCTTTATCACTCACTATTATCACTATTATTATTCATTATCATTACTATCGTCATTTATTTACACTCACTATCATTAGTTCATATTTCATTATCATTTCTTTATGGTTCATTAGCTTCACTTTTTTCACTATTAAAGTCACTTAACCATTCACTATCATCACTATATCAAAATAAACAATCAAGTTCCTTTATTGCATACAACGCAAAATAAATAACACAAAAACACATTACCACGAACAGCAGCATCTCTCACCTTATCAATGGCAGCAAGAACAGCATCCTTAATTCTTGCAATCTGGTTATATTGCAAGAGTTTAGCCCAAGCCGTCTGCAACTCGTCGATCCAGTCTTGCACGAAAGGAGCAACTGCCAGAGAGAGAGAGGGGGGGTAAGGGGTGAAGAGTGGGGGAGGGGGAGGGAGAGTAATAGGGTGGTGGAGGAGTGGGGGGTGGGGGTAAGATTCACCTTGGGTTTTAAACATGATACGAAAAGCTTGGGTCAGTTAGGGTGAAAATGGGTTGACATTTGTTCTAAAGGCGATGTTCTTCTATTGGTTAGACAATATCGACTTTCATGATAATAATAACAAAACAACGAAACTACTTTGTAACAGTGGTAATAACTGCAGAAGTAAAAGTAACAATATGAACATAATATCAATAATGATAATAGTGATTACAACAACAAATGCAAAAACAACAATAACGATAAGTATATCAAAAATAGCGAAGGTAATAATAATATCATTGCTATTACTATCGTCAACTTACAAATGATAACGATAATGTTAGTACTACGGCTACTACCACCACCAAAAACATAACCATAAGTAATGTATCCAAAGAGGTTATCATTTGCAACAACAGACCATCATTATTGCGCTCTACTGGATATTGCAAAACAACCGTTTTGAATGCAAATATTATTACTTTTTGAGTGCCTTTTCAACGGGGTCATTCATCTTGCAACCTCTCAGCGACCCAGCATGCGGCATCAACAGGCTCTTCTTCCCTAAGCCTTCGGCCTCCTTCACCTCCCTCCCCCCACTCCTCATTCCTTAGGCTTCCTCTACCTCCTACTTCATTCCCTTTTTTCTCTTTCATTTCTCCCCTTTCGTTCCTTAAGTTTTCTTTACCGTTTCCTTTCTCTTCACCTCCGCTATTCCACTAACGTCTTCCACTTCCACTTAGTCCTTTGGGTTTTCTCCACCTTCCTCTCCTTCGTTTTATTGTTTTTTTCCTCCATCTATTCATTCCCTCCTTAGGCTTTCTTCTACCTCTCTACTCCTTCGTTTTTGTTTTTTTTCTCTCTCCTATTTTCCTCCACCACCTCTCTTTTATCCCTTAGATGTTTCTCCACTTTATCCTCCCTTATTCCTTATGCCTTTATTGCTTCCCCTTTTGTATTCCTAGACATCTACCATTTTCCCTTTCCTTCTCCTTCCTTCATTCCTTACGCACCCCCGAAATACCCCACGAAGCCTCCAAGAACATTAAAGAATAACCCATAGTACCCCCCCCCCAAAAAAAAAAAAAAAAAAAAAAACAATCAAGAACTACTCATGAACCTCTAGGTACATCAAGCTTCCAAGAACCCCCTAAACCATCCTAAAAACCCCTTCAAGAACCCCTAAAACCATCCTAAAAAAAACTTCAAGAACCCCTAAAACCATCCTAAAAAACCCTTCAAGAACCCCTAAAACCATCCTTAAAAAAAAATTCAAGAACCCCTAAAACCATCCTAAAAAAAAAAAACTCCAAGAACCCCTAAAACCATCCTAAAAACCCCTTCAAGAACCCCTAAAACCATCCTAAAAAAAAAACTTCAAGAACCCCTAAAACCATCCTAAAAAAAAATTCAAGAAGCCCTAAGACCATCCTAAAAAAAACTTCAAGAACCCCTAAAACCATCAAAAAAAAATTCAAGAACCTCCCAAACGAACCCGCAAGAACCTCACCTCCGTCGACGAGCATCTTGAACCCGCTCTTCATCTTCTCGACGAACATGGTGTAGTATTTCTCCAGGTTCTCCCGCTTGGATTTCTCGGTGAAGTCCTTGTAGATGCCCTCCACGTACGTCACGATCTCGGCGATCTTCTGGTAGTAGGCCGACGACTTGACCTCAAGGCCGACTTTCTGGAGCCAGTCTGCGAACGAACGAATGAAAGTTAAAAGAAAAGATGTGTTACCGGGGGGGGAGGGGGGTGGAGAAGGAGGAAGAAGGGAAGGATAAAAGGGAGGGGGTGATCGAAAGATGATTTAGTAAGAGAGAAAAGAGTCGGGGCTTAACCCAACATGCGGGGGGGAGTCTGCGAAAAGGCGGAAGGGGAAAGGAGAGGAGTCAAACAACAACAAATACCACAAACAACAACAAAAAAATTTACCCATAAGATTTTCCGCGAAGATCCAAGCCTGAGTCTCCACGTTGTCGAAAGTGCGAAGGATATGAGGCTTGTAGTTGTCGTAGACCGCCTGCCACTTGCGTCTCAGCCACTCCCCGACGCGGTCCGTGAAACCTTGCACGGCCTGGCTCGCTCGGAGGTACAGGCGCTTGGCGAACTGGGTGGGGGGGGAAAGGGAGA